AATTTGATACTGTCTTACCCTCACCAAAAGATCTGCTTGGAGATTAACTGGTCTAGTCTGTTGCTGAACTTTGTGCTAAAGTTTAGCTAAAACGACGCCTGTGTGTTCCCAGTCCCTAGGCTGTACCCTGTATGCCATGGTGTACCTGGAGGGTCCGTTTGATGCCGTGTGGCAGAAGGGAGACAGTGTGCAATTAGCAGTCCTCAGCAGAAATGTCAAGTTTCCAGAGGATCAACAGTCATTGTAAGTATGGGATCCATGTACAAAGGAAGACAAAGATAAACTAGAAAGATAAACAGAAGATCCACACAGGTCTCGACCTAGTCTCGTGTTCTCGCGAAACTAGGTAGCCTGGGTTCCAGACCCATAGCACACTGGACACAAATATCTCAGTGAGCCTGGCTCGCTGAGATATTTTGTGTCCAGTGTGCTTTGGGTCTGGCATCCAGGCTAGAAACTAGGTCACTCCCTGATCAAGATGTACAGTGGACATCAAAAATTTGGAGGTACAGTACATGTACGTGTTTCTACCTTTCAAAAGAGTCACTGATTGAGGAATATACTACTTACTGATAATTCTACGTGACTGATGAACCTTTTCAACGAAACTAGAAAGGGTACAGAACTAAGCCGCAAGATTCTGTACAAACAACTATGAAAAGGGTGCTAGTGTCATGGAAATGAAAAGAAACCTACAGTGGGTGTCACTGGAATGCAGACAAAAAATTTCCAGACTATAACTATGCATGATGTACGAAATGACCAAAGTACCCAATACCAGCCCAGAAAAGAACACAAAATAGTTGTGCTTTCAAATACCAGAGTTGTCAACCAAGAATTCAGGTGTTCAAAAAATATTTTCCAAGAACTATCTTAGAGTGCAGCTTGTTGCCACCAAGCAGAGTTGGGGCATCATCACTAGAAAGCTTTAAACATCTTCTGCAATGAAATGTGCAAAGATTGGGTGTAACAGGTCGTAATATAGCCAGCTGCCTCTGCTTGCAAAGCTGGTGTGTTACGCCAAATGGCGGTTATACTGGTTATACAGATACAGATCCGCAAGTACAAGTAGAGAGCATATAGCCAATTGCAAGCTAAACATACAGGCAGCTAAAAATACAGATAGTGCAGGTTAACTCACTTAATCACTTACTGATGAATAGTCAGTATATACTATAGAAAAAAGCATTTAGAGGAAAGTAAGATATTGATTTATTAAGTATCTAAGAATCATGTTGAATATCAAGTGAGGTTTTTATATAAGAATCAATCTTCAGACATTTTCTGGCCATCATTTTCATTTTTAATCTGTGATTTTCAAAGCGTACCAGTATATACAAGAAATAGCCACGCATTCAAGTACCAGAGTTATCAACCAAGGATTGAGGTGTTCAAGAATTCATTCTTTCCTAGAACTATCGCAGAGTGGAACTCACTGTCACCAAGTACAGTAGGGGCACTGTCAATAGATAGCTTTAAACAATGTCTAGAGCTAGAAGTTCAAGGGTTAGGTGTAACAAGTCGATCGGTGTAATATAGCCAGCTGCCGCCGCGCCGCGTGCCTGCGAAGCTGGTGTGTTACGCCGAAAGGCGGTTATACCGGCTATACAGATACAGATACAGATATACATTTGTAAAGCACAAAATCTGTACAGAAAGAGACTGAGCTGTTGTAGTAAAATTTCTTGTTCCTGTTCCCATTTTTCACAGATACTCTGCGGAGTTGTTAGACCTGATTAACGCCCTACTGGTGGTTAACCCAGCCGAGAGACCAAATATCAACTGGGTGATCCAGAGGGTGGAGGATCTGTGTATTAATGCCCTGGCTGCTAACAGGGTCTAATCTACTGTCACTTAAGTCCTTTAATTTTAATCTTCCACATCACAAGTATCCTACATAGTATAGTATAGTATCCTGGCATTTTTTCCAGCCTAGGGTCCACTACAATTGTCACTTGAGACAAAACGTCTTTTTGAGCAGGGTTTCAAAATGCTAGGTGCATATGCACCTTAATTAATATCCTCTTCATCCAAGACATTGTAAGACCATGACATATATGCACCTTAATGAAGGTAAAATTGGAGCTGTGCAGGTATTTCTGATGTCTACCTGCACCTAACCTGCACTGGTCCATGTACTGGGTTTATATGTACATGTACATGTTCATGTATATGGATTTTTATTTTCTGCAGTGAATGTTTATGAAGTATAATGGTTTAATAAGTCTTTATCTTCAAGATATAACAAAGAAAATAACAGAAATAACAAAACTGCTTTATACAAGGCCAGGAAACTACAGTACATGTAGGTTTTTAGACTTTCTTTTTAAAATTTTTGAGCATTGGCTACTCTTTTTACCTTGCTTGCAGTCATGCTTTGCATTCCAGTTAAATAAGTTTAGATGTAGCAGGGTTGACTTTATGGTAACTTCTCCTTTACAGAGTGTTGCAGATATGATATTAACTCTATAAATATCTGTATAAAAATCATTTCTTATATTAGGCAACTTAGTACATCTGTACTGTTAAAAAGAGTTATGGCTACTGTATATGGTGGGGAAATAATTTTTGGAAATGAGAATATTTATTAGTCTCAAAAGAGAGATTTTACTTTCAAAAAGTTTTTGTCAATTTGGGATATTTACTGGCATTATCTAAACACTTACATGTATTTTGAATGTAAGGTTTAAGTTATAAATACTAAATAATTTCACAGTCATTTTCCTGTGTTTAAGCTATTCTCAACTTCATAACCCTATAACCTATAGAGTCAAACAGCTACTTCAGTGTGGTTCAAGACTTCATCTATTCTACAATCAATCATTTTCTCTACATTTTCCTTTCAATTGTCAAGTAGGTCGGGATCTTTTGAAGTAAAAGAAAAAAAATGCTAAATGAAAGACAATCCCAAGAAATGTGTTAAATGCTGTTGGCTACATGGGGTGCAATATACATGTAGCCAAGGGTTTGTTATCTTGGAGGTTAAAAGCTGAATGTACAAGGTACAAGTTATATTGTATAGTTAATGGAACTACATGTATGGTGGGTATTTCATGCAATGGTTATTATAAGCCATGACAGTTTAGAAGAAATTAACTTTAAACTGTTGAAGGCAACCCTCTACAAGATTTTTGTAGACTCTATTATAAATTTATCCTATGTAAAGATATATAAATTTGCAATTTAAGGCTATTATCCGAGGAGATGGTATTAATAATGGTATCTAACATGGAAAATGCAATGGTCATCTTTGTTCCGGAATCCTGGCTATCTCTATATATAAGAGAATGAATCTCTTAGTTTCAAGTTTAAGAAATGTTATGATGTAGTACTGTTTCAAATATTGTAAACCTGGCAACTTGAATATGAAATGCTGACAAGAGAATTCTTCTGTAAATTACAGATTTAACTTTATAAAGTTAATTGCAAGTTTGCAACTTAAATATAAAAATTCTAAATGTCTTACTTCTACCGTGTCATTTTGCTTTTGTCGTTCACAGAAATATTTGCAAGCAAATAATAAAATAGTGTTTATGATATAAATGTATTCATATCTTTTCTGTTTGGGGGGGCAGTATACATTAAGTACAACAAACATAACTTTTCAGACTAAAACTTTGTCTACATTTAACATTTTGTACAGAACTACAGAAAAAAAATTGCTGCCTTGCTGGGATAAGAATTGGCATGAAAAAGATTGATGAAACTAGAAAGGTGACATTTGCCAAGCAAATTCATAATGTTTACCTTCACATATGGTCTGCTCTGTTAATTCTTACTCAAACACATTCATATGTATGGTCAGGCAGAAGTCTAAATCCCTCCTGCTATAAAATTGCAACATGATGTAAGTCAATACTAGTTACCATGGTGACAGACGTCTGGTTCAGGTGATTGACCTTTTTGGTTTGGAGAAGAAGAAGAGGAAACAGAGCAAAAACAATATATTTTCCTTCGGTAAAACTTAAGTCATATTCTTAACATGACTGACAGGTAAAGTTTGAGCAAAAACAATATGTTTTCCTTCGGTAAACATAAGTCATATTCTTAACATGATTGACATGTGAAGTTCATAACATACAGTACGCCCTTGGCCTTCTGTAGCGCCTATGACGTAATGTCGCACAGTTGTTTTCGTTCTTCTATATCCCAACTGCTGCGTGGGGGACTTTATCAATGGTACGTTAGGCACACATAATTAAACACTGCCGGGACGTACAGCCAGCTCGGGAACTATTCTCATAAACGTGCGGTGTGTCTAGCACGGAGACTGGCTGTCAAGGGCAAGTCACAAACGTAACTAACCAAAAACAACACCCGTCAGGAGCATAAAGCATGATTGATGGAGGATATACCCAGTTACGTATGTTATTTCTGGTTATATATATAACCAGTCCTCTCATTGGTACATAACTCATGTAAGGCCATGTTGATTTGATTATATGGATGACATCCGCGCGCGCATGAATTTTCGGCCGTTTCCAAAAAAAAAAAAAAAAAAAAATTTCAACCATACTGTAAATCGTACAAAACAGTTGCAAAATGAGCAAAAATATACCATAAGTTACATTTGCTCAACCCTCATGACCACGTAGATTTCATAATGAAAAGAACTTTTTTTTTTTGCAAAACTTTTTTTTTATTCGCACGCGCGCATCAGTTTTGGGGCTCCCGGAGGATGTCATCCATATAATCAAATCAACATGGCCTAATTCAGAATTTTTTAAAAAATCCGGACTTGCAAGAAGAAGAGACTTTCTTTATTTACCTTTTCCTAAATCGGTCGAATTAAGATCATAGTACAAACCGTGTACATTTTTATAAGAAACATCGATATATAGGATTTAAAAGCATCCAATGTAATGTAATTTCATGGTGGCAAAGCAAAAAAAAATATTCTGGATGAGAAACTCTGACATTATTGCGATTTTAGCACATTTCCGCCATAATTTTATACTTGGAGCGTTTGAAATAGCGCAAACGCGAGGAGCTCTTCATCTTCAGTGGGTACACCAGTCTATACGATGCAACACAAACGACCGTTTTCCGTCGATCAGATTATCATATTGTAGCCTCATAGATATCAGTATGCTATGGAATAGGATTGATTCAACATATACATATACTACATGACCCGAAAATTGACTTTGAAAACCCTGAAGTTACATTGCATACCTTTAAGCTCGTCACGTCCTCTACACCCCCACACTAATAATGACATTATGCGCTGCTGCCAGGGCAATAACCAAATGTCGTTCTTTAATTTTCCCTACTGGCTCAATCACACCAGACCTTGGCAAATCGTGACGTGTGCGTGAATGGAGCTTTGTTGTCCCACAAAATAGGTCTATCCCGATCCTTTGCCCTTAGTTTCATTCTAGGCCACCGCGAAGTTGGACTGGCGCAGGACATTCTAAGGAAAGCTCCGTGGACATTCTACAGAAAGCACCTTGGACATTCCGAGGAAAACTCCTTGGACATTCTGAGGAAAACTCCTTGGACATTCTGAGGAAAACTCCTTGGACATTCTGAGGAAAACTCCTTGGACATTCTGAGGAAAACTCCTTGGACATTCTGAGGAAAGCTCCTTGGACATTGTAAGGAAAGCTCCTTGGACATTCTGAGGAAAGCTCCGTGGACATTCTGAGGAAAACTCCTTGGACATTCTACGGAAAACTCCTTGGACATTCTGAGAAAAACTCCTTGAACATTCTACGGAAAACTCCTTGGACATTCTACGGAAAACTCCTTGGACATTCTGAGGAAAACTCCTTGGACATTCTACGGAAAACTCCTTGGGCATTCTGAGGAAAACTCCTTGGACATTGTAAGGAAAACTCCTCGGACATTCTGAGGAAAGCTCCTTGGACATTCTAAGCTCAAAGATGGCGAGAAAGTTTTGCGAGCTCTTTTTCCTCGTGGTCCTGTGGTACTCCACTTTTGTGCCCCGGTGTTTGAGCGTGTACCAGCGGCGAGATGTTCTGGATAAAGGCGGTAAATACTCGTTGGGATGGACGGTGGACGTGGAGGAAAAAGTCGTGGTGTTTTCCGTTGAAGTTGAGACGAGAGGTTGGATAGGACTGGGGCTTTCTCCTCACGGAGGTATGCCTGAATCAGACATCGTCATCGGATGGGTGGATGGAGAAGGCAACGCCTTTCTCACGGTTAGTTTTATCCCTCCCAACTTTCTCCCAAAGTTGAAATAATTCACAGAATAATCCATTTGTACATGTAATCTTTGCATTTTGGAACGCGAAGTTTTGCTGTTTTGTTATCTGTTATTTATTATATTCTTCTTTGTCAGTGTCTTGTACTTCGTATATTTTGTTTAATAAAAAACAAAACAAAGGACGTATATAGTTTACGAGAATAAGTATCATACTTCGTTGTTGGAAAACCTTGATCAACATTAGTTTTCATAATATGAACTACATGTAAGTCACCAATAAAGAGAGGATGAAAACACGGGATAATCTGGTCAAAAGTAGGGTTTGTTCACTGTTGTCAGCTGTTGTTGGAGTTTGAGCTGGTCAACACCCTGTTTTCTTTATTATCATTGATATTTGAGAGGCAGACCCTTGCGACTCTCTGTTGAAGAAGAATTGGTGCAATTGAGATTGAAATGCGGGAAAGTACTATTTTGAGTCCTTATTTTAGTGTATTTAACTATAGCCTTCAATGACCAAACCTAATAGTGGTATCTGTCCATAAGTTGCGTTTTCACCGTGAATGCTGTGTACACTACCACCCTCGTACAGGACCGTTACGCTACAGAGAACGGTGCCCCGGCAGTAGACACCACCAGCCAGGATTGGGTCCTACTGTCGGGGTGGGAGAATGACACCCACACTAGTCTCAGCTTCAAGAGGCCGTTCGACACATGCGACACACAGGACAGAGTCATCGAGGTAAACTTTTCAACATTCACATTGATTTACTACTTATTGTTAACTGATGTGATGCCACTCATATTTTCAAACAATACCTCAATACAAAACAATTGCTACATCCTTTTTTGATGCGATTTAAGTCATATAGAAAAAAATTAACTGTTTCCCGACTCAAAGAAACTAGACTCCGGGGATTTTCGACCGAATATCTCGGTCTTCGTCAAGTATACTATAGACACGTGGTTTTTAACACGTGTGGCGTCAGCTCTGGTCAAAGTTGATCGGAAGTCGGTAGCGCCCCCCGTCCCGGTTTAGAGAACGTTGATGCGAACAGTTTAATTTTTCACTATGTAGATTACCAACTCAGATGAACTTTCAAGCACAAGTGCATTTGTCTGCGTTGGTGGCGGCATAAAATACTAGTATTTTAAAGTTGCTGTCGCCATGTATTGTGATAAATGTTGGAATAGAAAAAAAACGTTCATGCTAACTTTATCATTATGTTTAAAGTTAAATCTTTTGGTCCATCACAAAAAAATTCTAGAGCTTTCGACCAGTCACTCTGGTCTTCCTCAGTAGACTGACCCAGTGAAGCTTGTCAACTACCAACACAGATGAACTTTTATGATAGTAACTTTATCATTATTTCATTTTGGTAGGACGGGACTTCGCGTGTGATCTTTGCGTGGAACGACGCTGACCCTGTGACGGACGTCGGCCCGTCCTACCATGACGCTAACCGCGGGGTCAAGTCCGTCTTGTTACTGGACAAGGACCCTGAACAAACCCCGCTCCCGGACAACGTGCTGACACTGGACATCGTGGTCCCAAAAGTACATGACTGATTCTTTATCTATGATATCTAAGTATACAAGTTTATATAAATGTGTGAGCACAAAAAGTAAATTTTGATGTAGAGTAAATAACGAAGTCCTTACCTCCCAAACGTTGAAACGGCCCTTCGTTGATATTATGTGGATTACAATCTCTGGGAATCCAAAAACTGATGATGCGAGCGGATAAAAATGAAAGTTTGTTAAAAAAAAGTTTCCTTAATTATGAAATCTACGGAGACATGAATGTTGAACAAATTACTAAACACACAGAGTAGGTATATATGGCGAAGAATAGGCTCTTCGTTTTCATTTCTTCGCATTTTCTTCTTTTCCCCTGGAACTGATTTCGGCACTCTACGGCATTTAGTATCGTCTTCCCATATATTTTCCAGGTTCACGTGCCTGCAGAGGACACCACGTACTGGTGCCAGTGTTTCAGACTGCCGATGGTCGGGAGGAAGTACCACGTGGTCAAGGTGAAGAAACCATCATGATACTTAAAAAATTTTGTACAAGACCTTGCTTCAGGCTACAGAGAGCCATTCTTTTACATCTTACATGAGTCTTCCATGCATGTTGGCTGGCACGTGTATATATCTCACCACGTTTTCATGTCTTTTTCATGACCTTAGTGGGAACAGATAGTCCAGCCTGGGCACGAGAGCCTCGTCCATCACACCATCGCGTATTTCTGCCCGCCCGGGACGAACGAGTCTCTGGTGGGGCTGGGGGAACACTGCTACGGGCGGAGGTCCTCTACCGGAATGGGAGAGCACTGCAACTCGCAGATCCTGGCCGCGTTTGCAGTTGGTGGAGGGGTAATTACCTTCCTTATATATTTTCGTTGGCGTTCGTGTGTGTGTGTGTGTGTGTGTGTGTGTGTGTGTGTGTGTGTGTGTGTGTGTGTGTGTGTGTGTGTGTGTGTGTGTGTGTGTGTGTGTGTGTGTGTGTGTGTGCATATGTGTGTGTGTGTGTGTGTGTGTGTGTGTGTGTGTGCATATATGTGTGTGTGTGTGTGTGTGCATATGTGTGTGTGTTTGTGTGTGTGTATGTGTGTGTGTGTGTGTGTGTGTGTGTGTGTGTGCATATGTGTGTGTGTGTGTGTGTGTGTCATATGTGTGTGTGTGTGTGTGTGTGTATGTGTGTGTGTGTGTGTGTGTGTGTGTGTGTGTGTGTGTGTGTGTGTGTATGTGTGTGTGCACGTGTGTGTGCGTGTGTGTGTGTGTGTGAACAACATTATTGGAGAAGGCTTAGATGGATGACCTTTAAAGAGGCCATGAATTAAAGAGCTATGGACGGTTTTTAGAAAAGCCTTTCACCTTTTTCTGAATAATAGTTAAAACTAGAAGGCCCTAGAAGAATACCACAGAATGAAAGACCTTGCCTTTTATGCCTAAGCTTAAGCCTATTAACAGTACCATGAGTGGGGAAACATCAATATATCTTTTTTCTAGCCCTTCACCCTCCCGACTGACGCTGGCCTGCCTCTCGGGGAAGACGGCGCCCCCAATCTGATCATGCTGGAAATGCACTACGACAATCCGGAATTACGTAACGGTGCGCATGACGTCACTACTACATGATAATTGGAGTACATGTATTAGGTTTATGGTGGTTGTGATAATGATGATGGTGATTACTAGTATATTGAAGATGATAATGATAACTATTATGATGACGTAGTATAATTGATGATCAGAGATGATGATAACTGGATACATCTTCCTTACGATATTAATAATGGCAGTAATAAAGAAGTTATAACATTCGTTGTGAAAATCGCCATAAGGAAGAATCACTGTGGAACAATTTTAATGGACTCAAGTAATAAAAGTACGTAATATGGACTCAAGTGATAGTAAGATTCAATATACAAAATCGTACCAGGCTGGTACAAGTACAAATAATATTGGAAATTTCGGCTTGTTTTACAACTATCTTTGGGAATGGCCTGTCAATAACATTTTTTTTGCTACTATTAATA